TTATTATAATATTTATTATGTAGATTACAATTCATTAAATAATTTAATTTTTTTTCTAATTTGGACAAACATTTCGGTCAAGATTCTTGACCAAAATAGAATGGATAGTTTCACTCGACTTTCTCCTTTCTTCGATCACGTACCTTGACCAAAATATATTGTTCAAAATACCAAAAATATCCCTAACCTTAAATTCAGTCATGTAAAATTATCAAAATATCTTGGTCACTGAACTGTTCATTCCTTGTGATTTCAATCAGTCATAATGACGGAAATATATGATTTAAATAATGTTTTATTAGTTCGGTTAAATTATTTGTTCAAATATAAGAATTGTTTAATTATTTATTCAACCACTTCTTCAATCAGTGATACTAACCGAATTAAATATTTATTTTAGTTAAGATGAAATTTTCTCCGAAATACTATTTCATACAGTGGATATTCAGTCCAACATTTAGGTTAGTGATATTAACTGAAATACTTTTAGTTCGGTCAAAAACTGACTTTTTTGGTCAATCTACGTGACCTAAAAAGGCCCTAATTCTAGCAATGGTTCATGGCTGAGATAGGCACAATCGGCAAAACATATCATATTAATCTGGTTTGACTTTATGGTTTTTGCTATGATCAATTTATGAGTGCGCTTGTGTATGAATTCATGGAAAATGGATCACTTGATAAATACTTGTTTAAGGAGAAGCAAATGATTGAGTGGGAAAAATTACATGAAATCGCAATAGGGATGGCCAAAGGTATTGCTTATTTGCAAGAAGAATGTCAAGAGAGAATCATCCATTACGATGTAAAACCCACAAATGTGCTCCTTGATGCAAACTTCTTCCCTAAAGTTGTTGACATTGAGCTAATGAAACTCTGTAATAGGGATCTTACTCACGTTTCAAATACTAGGCATAGAGAAACCCCTAGTTACTCTACTCCAAAATTGTTGTTAAAGAATCATCCCATAACGTACAAATGTGATGTGTACAATTTTGGAATGGTGTTGTTTGAGATAGTTGGGAGGAGAAG